TATATATATGAAAATGAGTGTATATATTAAGTATAGAATATATTTGAAAATTTATCTTCGCATAATAAAAGAAAAAAAAAGAAATATTCAAACCTTTTCATCTCGTAAGTGTATGAAATGCATCTATATTACTAATTCTGCAAATAGAGTACATACCCATTTTATTTCAAGTTACTTTTAAATTCATTCAACAAGATCGATCCTATTACCATTTTCTCACAGTTTACGCAAACTTCCAATTTCTCAGTGTCAATGAATTTTATTGTTACCAATACTAGCGATTTGGACGCTAAAGTATAAGCGGCAAACCTGTATATATTCATTGTACTTAATTCTCTTTTTAAACTTAATTGTTCAGATAAAAAATATATTAAAAACATATTAAAAATACATCACGAGCAATATTAACTTTATGATAAATGTATATGCTTACCGCATGACTTCATCTTCATTAGGTATTCTCGCAACATTTGCTGTCTCAACGATTTTTTGGGGAAGAGTACTTTTGTTTCCAGAATAAGGTATCTTCGCAATATGTTCATTCATACCTTTTAATTTAGCTTTCTCTGCATTGAACATGCTTTCAGGCAAGGTCACAGATCTTATTATCTCTCCGATTGGTGGTTTGATACTGACCAGACATGAATGTTTCTCATCGTTAATCGAAAAATCAATGTTGAAATTTGCCGGTTGAGTAGAGTCATTAAAATTAACACCTAGCGTAGAAGATAATGTACTGGTTGTCTCAAGAATTGGTATTTGCATAAAATCGTGAATGAACATTCCCTTTTGCAAATTCTGAAAATAATATATGAAATATTATTTCATTATAATCATGATATTATATATTAAATAATATTTGAAAAAATTGCTTACCTTATTTCCTATTTGAATTTCCTTAATAACATTGTCGCTTTCATTAGAAAACGTTAATTCGATATTAACCAAACTCGAACTAACTAAATGTTGCGATCTCGTAAATCTATATTCAATTTTTAAACCATGCCCTATGATACTATTTAACAAAGTAGCCTTTTTCAATGGAACGTATGATGTTGACACTTCTTGAACATTTTCCGTAATTATTGAATTAATCGGAGTAAGAAAACCACCCAAACTAGGTGTCATCACAGGAGTCATTGGAATAACTGCATAAGAAAGATATAATAAATACATTAATATTACAAATCCTTTAAAATTTATCTGTCTCTTGTTAAAAGTCTCATTAAACTAACCATCATCTAGATCTAATAATAGATCAAAATTGCTTTTTGGTTTTTCTTTCGTTTCTTGTTTGACGAGTTTCGGTTTCTCCTCTTCGCTCTCTTGAGTCTCGCTTTCTTCTTCTTCAGAATCCGAATCTTCACTGCTCGATGATTCACTCTCGGAATCATCGGACTTTGTTTCGTTTTTCTTTCCAATGCCTATCTCAGATTTATCTGATTCACTTGTATATTCCGAAGAATCGCTATCTTCATCTGAAGAGTCGGTGGACGAAGAATCGGACGATTGATTATCTGATTCTGAAGTTGAAAACAAAAAATTAAAATATATGGTACACAGATAGAAATAATATGCAAATGTTAAGTGTTCATCGAACGGTACCTTTACCTTCAGCAGCAATACTCTCCTCGTCACTGTAGAACGATTTCTCCTTTTCCTTGCTCTTTTTTTTCTCCTTTTCTTTTCTATTATATCGCTCTTCTCTATGTTCCTGAACAATTGATGGTGCGACATCTCGCACGGATGGATCTTGCGTTACTTCCGGGAATGGTGGTAAAGGTCGATAACCCGCGCACGGCATGTCCAGATAGTGGGATAAAGTGCCCAATTGATATTCTGAATCTTTGAATCTGGACGTTAATGTCGGCGCCGGTTTCGGTGCAAGGAAAATTCTCTTTGCGAACTGCGGTAGCTTCTTCGTTTCATTGCCTTCATCTTCGAAGATGAAGTGCCGCAGGAAACGAGCGCGGTCTCTAATATCATAATTTTGATCGTACTTGGCGAGTTGGAAGACGTACTGACAGAATAGTTTCGTTTGTACAGGATTATTTAAGCATAATTTCACGGCCAGATTTAAGGTTTGCAATTTTACTATATCCTGCTCGTTCACAAAACTCTTCGCCATTTTTCGGAGCACGTCCGGCGCTATCTTAGGAACTCTATCGGAGTATTCGCCTAGAAGCCACAGAATAGAGGCTCTAGCTTGTGGTACCGTGATAAAATCCATTAACTTCGCCATATGGCCAATTATATCTTTATGTTCATTCGGCTGCGTTTGTAGGAGTTTTTTTATTACCACTACACTTTCCGCCACGATAGCCTCTGTAGAAAAATAAAAGTTAATGCGGCAAAATATATGACACAAGATGTGTGATACAAAACATGCAAGTTGATAATAGTTTACCATCTCTATTGCTTAACAAAGATACTAATCCGTTGAGGCATGTATCAGTCACTTCCTTGATGTTGCTTGCACATCTGCCGATCGCCTGAATGCTAGCACCAACGAATTCCTTATCACTGCTGGAGATATATGTCTGAAATTCTCTCAGTATTACACCGATGCTAGTTTCAGTCGCCAAATTCGTCAATATGTCAAGTTTCAAAAGTTTTATGTGAGTAGGATCCGAGGTCCGCACAAAAAACGATTTCAAGAAGGGCTCAAACATTCCCTGAAAAACACAGAATGATGTGAATATGCCACACAGTTATATGATATAAATTGGATTATCATAGATTAATTTGTATTGTATTTTAGAGCACCATACTTACATTACCTTTCTTGTAATTGATATACTCGCGATACAGTGAAGTACAATACTTTGCACTTCTCTGTGACATCTTAACAATCTTATTAATGCCTTTGCAGCGGTCATAACTTCGCTTCTGGGTGCTGCATGATGGTATAACTGAGCAACCGCCATTACCACAGATGCATTTCGACTTTGTAATAAGGGTTTTGTGTTTCTTAATAATAAACGATGATCGGGATCTAATGTAAACTTCGGTTTCTTCGTATTAGAAGAATCGGAATCAGAGTCGTAAAATGGCCGATTTTCGTCTTCGTCTAAATTCTATGAGAATATTCAAACCATTATTTTTAAATTAATTAAATTAATTACTATTTCGTCAAAATATCTTTAAAGATATACTTACATCTGTATTTGGATCAACAAACTGTGTTCTAGCATATCTAGTGAGCATGTTAACAATAACCACTTGGCCCCATTCATCGACATCTACCAATAAATTACATAATTTTCTATAATTCT